CGGCCAGGACAACGAGGTGCGAGAAGAACAGCGCTTAGGCAGCCCGTCTTGAGGAGCGGGGGTAGTCGCCTGGCAGTGGGTTTGGCTCTGGGCATGGCCAGGGGTGGCGCGGAGAAGGGCTGTCCAAACTGATGAGGCCCGGGCCCCGAGAAGGGGTTTGCCCTCAGCCTTGTAGAAGGTAGGTCAGGAGTTGAAGTAAGCCCCCTTTTCAGTACAGCAGAGGGCAGAGAGGTCGTGCAATTTCTTGCTTTCTGCCTCTGCCTGAAAGGATGGTGTGTTATAACAACACAATTCTGGCTTTGAAAGCTCGGTGAGTAAGCAAAGGCCTGAGTAAGAGTTGTGAGCTTCTGAGATCTGCTAATGCATCTAGCAGCCAGATGAGTAACAAGCAATTCTTAAATATTTTCTTGGCTACTGAGAGCCTATTAGAAAACCTCATTTATAAAGTATTATACCAGTGAGGCTTTATAGTATGAAATTGTATTACCTTTCTTAAGATATATATGTGTATAGTTCACACTGTATATGGAATAGTCATGCTTAAGCAAGAAAAGTAAAGCACCCTGCTCATTGTAAGGACAGATGCCCTTGAAATGGGAAATATGCTTCTCTGAATCTTAAAAGTTGCCCACAAAGGTTAAAGGATACCCCCAGGCAACCAAGATAGTGTCAGCATCCTAGCTTCTCTAACACCTCTGTGAAACCCTCCCGTTGTCTGGCATTGTAGATAAGTAACTATAGCAAGACTGGCTCCAAGGATGTCTAGATCAATAGAGAAGCAGGTGGATAATGATGCCATAGAAATACAGTTTCTTTGCAATTGGTTGTGTGCGGGTGTTAAGTAGCATTTAGTCTAATCTTGTACCTGAATGCTTGAAAGGTATAAGAACCATATGTAGAACCATATTCAAGGTGATCCAGTTTGAATGGGACACCTCACATGCATGAATAAAAGGATTACACATGCAATTCTGTATTGTGGGTCCTAGCTTCTCTCTGCAGTTGTCGTGGGCCAGTTGTGAATTTTCATAACAAGCCCTTGGATAAATGAGCAGATACAAAATTCCTCTCTTCAGCTAAAACGACCAAGTGGTGGCAGAGGTGGCTACTTCAGTGGAAAACATGCAGTACCTTCTCCACGAATGTGCAGACACAGGAGAGTGACTGTTTCTGGTGCTGTGCTGCTCTTCTGAGCTCTTTGGTGGCTGTAGTTTTAGGAAGCAATGAAAGTGTGATGAATGTCAGAGATTCTTCTTAGAGAAGTATAATCTGTAGTTGACAAAGTGGTACTCCAAAAATGTTTGTCTGCATCTGTAGCATAATTAAACCCTAAAAGACTGCAAATGTCACTAGTGCTGTAGTATGGCATATGCACGGGTTCTTTGTTCTGGCTTTTTGCTAGGTACTTTGCTGGAATATGAGACATTTAGCCTATTGATAAAATTTGGGGACACAAGCATTAAAATCCCAAGGTGATATGCACTCAAGGATTTAGCCAGTGAAGTCCTGGAGTGGAATCTTTGGCTCTGAATTAGACATATTCCTTACCCAATAAGTTAAGGTAGTTAAATACTTAGGATTAGGTATCTGCAGCAGCCAAACTGCTAAAAAAGATCATGTCTTAAAATACATGTTACGAAGTTTTAAAGGGAAGGTTGACTCTTAAGTTTGTTTCTTCTCTGAAGTTTAAGCATCCAACTTCAGACAACAGAGAGGTGTCAGTTTTGGTTTCACATGCTGAAACTTCTCCTTTGAGTTGGTACCTAGAGTGTACTTTATTTAAAAAAACAAAAACGGGGCTAATAATAATTTTCCTTTGAAATGCATAGTCGGGGAAAGAAAAACCTGCAGGTTTTTATTCAGTGGTCTAGCTGTTTGAGGACTTGTTCATGATAAGGCTGTTTTTTCCTCTGGCTGAGGACTGTCACATAGGTATTTCACATTTACGAGTTAAGTGCTCTATCTTCAAATACTTTATCAGGGTGTTTGATGGAACTCTGCAGAAAGGTTAAGTTTATAGGTTTGCATCCTCATCAGGTTTCTGCACATTCTGCTTGATGAAAGGATGGATGCTGCTTAACTTATTTTCAGACCCTGGATATTTCTGTTCTTTGTGCAGTGTGATCCTATGGATGTGGGCTAGACATGTTCTGGGTTTGTCTAAAAGCAGGAATTCAGTTAGAGTGCCTACACATAGCTAGGTAGTTGTAAAACTGCTTAGAACTTGAAAGCTTTGAAGAATTTAAAGATCAAGGATCATACCTTTAAATTTAGCTACTGAAATATTGCTCTGCTTCCCACTTTGGAGGATCTGTTACTGGCTTTCCCAGAATTTTTTATTGGGTTGGAGCCTGGAATGTGTGTTTCAGTAACCTTATCAGTTAGTCTACTATGTTTTGGGTGAAGTAATTTGCTTCAGTTTTACATGGAAAAAGAAGTTCATTTGTGGTTGCAAATTAGCTGCATGCATTATAAAACAAATCTGTTTATCTTGCTTTGCTTTTTTTGTACGCGTTCTCATACATAAAGTGTTGACTTTGGGTCTTTTATTTTTTTATTTTTCTTCTAAGGTTTGGTAGTCAACTGGTCAGGTCAAGGATTACAAAAACTGGGTCCAGCATTACCCTGTGATGCTGATACTCACACTCTGATTCTGGACAAAAACCAGATAATTAAATTAGAGCACTTGGAGAAATGCAGGAATTTGATGCAGGTCAGTGTTGCTTGATTTGAATTTGCTATGAAATAATGGTGCTGTGTTGCTAATTAAAATACTTCTGCTTCAAGGTCATATTATGGAATTAAAAGTTAGCAGTTACTGTCTTCATAGGAGAATAAATGGTGACTTACTAAAATAGAAAGCTTTGTTTTCAGCATAGGTCTACAGTTGATAGCGGGAGAGGCTGTCACCTAGGTAACTACAAAATGAACTAAATAAATCTGAATTGGGGGTGTGGTGTCACTTGGAAAATCTCTGATAATCCAAATTTTGATACTTCTTAGCTTTTGAATACTTGAGCTATGTGACCTTAAAAATAACTACCTTTACTCTATGTAATTGTAAACATGCAGACATACATACAGGACTCTCCTCTCCATTTGGATTTCAGAATTCTTCACAAAGGAATCTGATTGCTAGCCTTAATTTACAAGAATAAAAAAAAAAAAAGCCTTGTGGTTTAGGCTAAAATAGAAATACCAAATAAATAATAGTGGAAAGGATCTGTTGCAGTCTTGTGAATGTATCTATCCATGTAGACCCTGATGTTGCTAGTGTTTATCCTTAATTTTAAGACTAGCAGCAGTCCATTTAAGTTCACAAAGGTATTAATGATAACAATGTTATGCCTGTGCATGGTGTTTGCAAAAATCAGAGTATTAATCTCTCCAGCAAAGCTGTACAAGTCTATGTTAATTATCACAAAGTGACTTCAGATAGACCAGAAGTCACCTAATAGCTTCTAGAGACAAGCTAAACTGACATAGGAGAAGTGGGGTTTGTTGCTACAACAAACCTTCACCAGTCTGCTGTCTTGGTGGTTGTTATTAATGTGGATGTCTAGTCAGGATTTATCCTTTAAAAAGTTTGTGTTTTACAGTCCTGTTAGCACAGAACACTTTTGAGAATTATGTCGAATGCATTTTGTCCTCTGGCATATTGACAGCAAGTATGATTTTACACCAGGAATGGTGTAACAATTTGCACAACGATCTGGCAATTCTGATTTTGAAATCTTGCATTAATATGACATGATTCCTCGTTCATTCTCCTTTATTTAGCTGTTGCTAGGAGAATTTCCTCTAAAGTTTACAGAGTGAGTTGCGAAGACTACTTTCTTTCATCAGTAATTAATTTCCTGGCTGTTGCAATGGTCTGTGTTGTCTGCTTGAAAATGGAATACGTAAATTGAAGAAGTTCCTGGTGGACTATTTTTAACCACTAAAATTAAAAGCCTGTTCTCTCTGTGCAGTTTAATAGTTTAAACTGTTTCTTTTATTTGTGTGTCAATCTGCAGCTCTCTGTAGCCAACAATCGATTGGTGCGAATGATGGGCGTAGCAAAACTGACTAATCTCCGGGTGCTAAACTTGCCTCATAATAGTATTGGGTATGTGGAAGGACTGAAGGATTTGGTGCACCTAGAATGGCTGAACTTGGCAGGAAATAACCTTAAGGTAAAGTATTTAGTCTTT